TACATAATATTTGCAAGAACCTTGCATACGTCACTATTCTCCAATCTCTTATGCTTGCGACAGACATCACTAATCAATTCAGCACTTCTTCCCACTGAGCCAAGATGCAGCCTCGGAATCTTTCTCAACATAGTGCAAAAGGCAGCCGCTGCCAACCCACCAGAGTTGGTGCATGAAGTGAAATCTACTTTCTGTCCCTAGCTCAGGAGCTTGGGAGACTGGGAAAGAGCCCAGGCATTGACCAAGTTAGGAAACTTAGATATACGAAAAAGATCTCAAAAATGATGGAGCTCATTGCACAGAAGAAACCAAGGTCTGCAGCTCAGAAACTTTCTCCTGCTCTCCCTTGTCTAAAATGTCCTTTCTACCAAATTGCGCTGCCTTTCTCAGCATCAGAGTCAACATCCTTGGTAACGTAAGTGAACAAATATTTATCTGACAGGTTAGACTCTGGCAAAGAGGGGAAGAGAGGGCAGCAGTCACGTAGAAGTTTTTTTGCATTTGTTTCTGTAAAATTTCCTTTTGCTCGTTTGTCACCATCAACACTTCAGTGTTCAGGCAGATGAGCTACAGAAAAGATCAGGAATGGTGATTTCCAGCAAATGATAATTACAACGTGCTGTGCACGAGAATCGATCCATCCCAGCCCTATGGTTCCTGTAATTTTAACAGCTAACACCTTTTATCACATTTCTGCTCCTACAAATAAGAAAAAAAAAGTCACTATTTAATCCCACATAATGATGTGAGAACAGCCAGCCACCCTACACTCAGTCGAGACCTTCTTGAGATTTCAGAGGAACAAGACATGTCTGGTGTTTGCCGTAAATATTGATTGTTCAATATCCCCAAGTAATGGAAACTAACCAATAAAAATCATATCTGGAAAATTAAAAGTGATGGTTAGAATGGGGATCTCTCCTCCTTGTCAAATTTCAATTTGAAATTAAATTGGGGCCTTTGGCGCTAAGACAGGGACCTCTGACCTCTGAGTAATTACTTTCCAACATCATTTTCTTTAATTTGGAGGAGAGAGTTCTATTCTAAGAATTGCTGGAAAGGCCCACGCTATGAATATGAAGCTGTATCTCAGGAAAAGTCTGTTTATTTCTTCCTTCTAGTTCAGGTGTATCCTTGCTCCCAGGGAGTGTGCTTGCTGCACACGTCTAGTCCCCCCAAACTCAGCACTCTCGTCGTTATAATTACACCAGCAAACTCAAGAGTCATCGTGACTGATGACACGGCTTGCGACTCAGAACCTCGGCAAGGTTCCTGGAATCCGCCCAGGGAGCAGGGAAAGTCTCAACACAAACTCCTTTCGCTGCTTCCACATTGTGAGATGTGGGTTCCCCGTATTTAGAGAAAGTGTTCCTCGAAAAAGGGAAAAACAATCTAAACTGGATGAAAAGCAAATACAAAAATAGGAAGGTGTGGTACAGCACAGCATTTTCAGGGAGTATATCGCTCATTCATTTGCTCAACAAACATTTATTGGGTACCCACAGTAAGCCAGGCACCCTGCTGGGTGATAAGGATGAGTAAAACGTGGTCCCTGCCCTCAAAGGGGTCCAAAGAATGTAGGATGCACGAGCACAAAATCAGAAAATCACCTGGCAATGGAGTAAGTATGGCAAGCCCGATGACTGAGAGCGGACGGGGGCTCTGAGAGCAAACAGGGGAGCCAGGCGGGGACGGGCTGGGGCCAGGTGTGCTGGAGAGAGCGGGTCTTAGCAGTGGCGGTGGATGAGCGAATGGGAGGGGTCAAGGACAGCGCCTCAGTTCTAGGAGGTCAGCACCATAAGCTGAGATCATGAACATGAACACAGGGCGTGCGGAGGAGGCTCCAGGGGGCTGGTGATGAGTTGGGTCTGGGATACAGTGAGTTTGAAGTATTTGAGAAACTTCCCTTTGGAGGTCATGGTTTTCCTGAGGGCACAGACCCATGCCTAACTCATTTCTGAGTCTCCGTGCTGAGTACATAAGAGGCTCTCAGAAAATACTGAATAAATAAGTGAATATTATGTGCAAATGCTTCTCATGTATCATTACATTTAATTCTCACAGCAATGAGAGAAGGTCTGTTACTACCCCATTTTACAGATAGGTCCAAGCTTCAAAAGTCTTAGGGTATAAGACAGGAGCTATATATATGTCAGGTTCACAGATAAAAATGACTCAGAAAACGAGGCAGAGCATACAGAAAGATGCTCAATATCATTAGTCATCAGGGAAATGCAAATTAAAACCATAATGAGATACTGCCAGCATTGTGACGAATCCACTAGAATTATTAAAATCCAAAAGACTAACAATAACAAGTGGTGGTGAGGATGCAGATAAACTAGAACACGTACACTGCTGGTGGTAAAATGGGAAAACAACTGGCAGTTTCTTATAGAGTCAGACACACACGTCCCATGTGCCCCGGCAACTCCGCTCCTAGATTTCCACCCCAGAAAAATGGAAATATGTCTACACAAAATTTGTATGTGAATGTACATAACAGCATTATTCATGACAGCGAGAATTAGAAACACTTCAAATATCTATCAACTGGAAATGAATAAACAGAATGCAGTATATAGGTCATACAATGTAATACTATTCAGCCATGAATAGGAATTAAGTAGTGATAATATCCTAAAATATGGATGAACCTCAAAGACCTTACACTAAAGAAGCCAGGTACCAAGGGCCTCAAATTGTATGATTTCATTTATATGAAATTTCCAGGAAAGGCAAATCTATAGAGACAGAAAGTAGATGAGCAGTTGCCTGGGGCAGGGGTGGGGAGTGGAGGAGTAGGGGTGGGACGGAGAGTGACTGCAAATGGAACTTTTGGGGATGAAAAATGTATTCTCAACTGAATTATGGGGCTGGCTATGTAACTGTATATATTTACAAAAACTTATCAAACTGAATACAACGGTTAAACTTTAACGTATGTAAATTATACTTCTGCGAAGCAGATTTCTTAACAAAAAAGGAAGAGAGAGCTGGAGAGCTGTGATTTAGAAGAGATGAGAAGATCCCTACAAAGCTGGTGAGATTTGTACAGGTTTATGAGGGAATGTACTTGTGCTGGACCTTGAAGACCAGGTAGGATTCCCTTCCACAGATTAAGATGGTACCAAAAGGAATTCCAAACAAAGAAAGCAGCATGAACATGATCAAGTGTCAGGCATGCCCGGGCAACATGCAGACACCCATTTTGGCTGGATATCTGGACAGAGAAAAGTAAATTAAAAGGCTGAAAACTTTGGTTATGGCCACATCACAGAAGCTAAGAATGGCCAGGCTAGTGCATTTATGCCTTAATTTGGTAGACAGTGGGGAGCCACTGAACATTCTAGAGTAGGGGAGTGTCCAGGCAAAGATGAACAGGCCAGCAGTGAGCAGTGTGCACTGGAAGGGCAAGCAGCCAGGGCAGAGCATCAAATAAAAGGCTCAGAGAATTGACTGTAGTGAAAGAGGATCAAACTGTACTCACCTGCCTGTGCTGATAATGCAAAGGGACAGAGAGACGCACTGTGCCAGATAGAAAGAAAAATCGCAATGGACACTGGTTACTTGGCGCTGTCTATGATCCAGGCACCGTTTTAAAGAATCACTGCTCTAAGGGAGAGACCGAGTTAAGAGCCTGTAATAACTGGAATGAGCCAAATGGATTGATGATCATCTGTAGGTCTGGCTCCAAGGAGAAAGAGTAAAGGTTCGGGAGGTCATAAAATGCTTATCTAAGGTGTGTTATGGGGACCACAGATATGGAAGTTTGTAACTGAATAAGAAATAGTGATGCTTCTAAGGTGGAACGACTTACATGGCTCTGCCCCGGGAAGGCAAGAGGACCTGGCACGGCATGGCTAGTGGTCTCTAAGGATGTCACCCCTCCTTTAAATGTGCATAATACACCGTAAGGAAACGTGCATTGACAATAGAAGCAAATGGGTATAAAGAAGATTGCTACACTCGGTTGCTTCCAGGGATCAAATCCTTGGCCAGCTACTGTAGGAATAAACACTGAGCACCTTATGTTCTGTATCCATGAAGCAGGGCTATAGTGTATGGACAACCAACATCCCCAAACCTGGCCAGTTTAAAGCAGAGATCCCCAACTGACTTTCTGAAGGTTGAATCTAGCTGTTTGGGGATGATAAAATATTTATAGACATTTTTAAAATTAGCTGTCAACACTTAAACATCAGGAACTATCACATGAAGTATGGGGAAGCTGGCAGAACTGGCAGCTGTGTGGCTAATCCCACGTGGTGTCAATCAAATCAGAGCCGAGTAGCACTTGTCCTCATTAAACTTTAGAGTCCCTGCCTGGTACATTTCATTCTTTCCTTCACTCATTTCACTCACTCACTCTTTTACTCACTCATTCAACATTTATCAAGTACCTACTATATGCCAGGCACTGCTATAGGGGCCCGTAGATACAAATGAACAAAACAGACAAAAATCTCTACATTCCAGAGCTCATATTCTTACAAGGAGAACCAGACAATAAACAAATAAATAAATATTTTATATATATATATAAATAAAATGTACATACATCATATGATAGTAAACACTAAGAAACATGGATTAAGGTGTAGAGATTGAAAGAGGATGGAGAGGTTCTTTTTGGAGTGAGATGGAAAGCCAGCAGTGAGTTTGAACATAGGAGTGACATGATAGGACAGGTCTCACAGAAGTCCTCTCTCTGGTGAGAGAGACTTCCACTGTTGAGAGATGAGGGAGGTGAGGCTCAGAGAGGCTCCCCTCATCTGGAACGCGCATCTTGGTACACAAGCCCTAAGTCTAATTTCATTTCAGCAACCTGAATGAACTCTCACGTTCTCCCAAACCCGCATGGGAAAAACCTGACCCTTGTTCTCCAAAACAAAGCAACGATTGGTGCTGGGTGTCTGACGTGACCAGCTGTTCCCGAAAATTCATTCTTTGACCCCAAACAGCTTGAAATATTTGACAAGAGGAAAACATCTACTCACAATCAGGATGTGATCTCGCCCCATCGTGATGACCGTCCGGTTCACTGTGCGAAGCAGCTGGACCATGATTTCTTGGATGTGGTGGTAGGTGAAGGCCTGCAACACAATCAGAGACATCTGTGTGATAACCAGGACACTGGTCTGCACATCTCTTCTAAAGGACAGGCAGCAGTGTTCAAACACGGTGATCACCAAGACCACCACCACCATCATCATCACCACCATCAGCATCCATCTCCATCGCCATCACCACCTGGCTTTGGGCACCAGGAATGTCACCAATCACCTTAAATTTAAGTCGAAGGGTAAGAACTTAAGCTCTGAAATTAGAAACTTATGGTTTAAAATACTAACTCTGTCAAGAATTATTGTGTTATATTGGCTGAGCTACACCTAACTTCTCTGAACCTTGGTTTCTTCATCCGTGTAACAGTCAGAATCTAACCTGGAATAAGGAGGGAATTCAGTGCAGGAAATTGGTTATACAAGTGATGAAAAGGCTGAGACACCAAGCAAGGTAACTTAGGGATTAGCAACAGCAGGCAGCTACTATCACCCTTAGGCTGGAGGGACAAATAAAGGAGGCAGCGTTTCTGGAGCCTGGGACTGGAGTTATATAATGGAAACTCTTAACTATTAGAGAGCTTGTGCAGTAGAAGCTGCATTATCTACCTTGGAAGAAATCCACAATGAACCAGATTGTAACATTTATAGGATTCACTTTAAATACAAGTCCCTGATCCTTGGGTAGGACTTGCCGATGCTTTCTGAGCACATGCTGTGGTAGGCGAGAGTCTCATGCATGCTCACATACATCCTCAGTTCCTTTCACCCATACAGACTTAAGCCACAGAGTTTCTTCCATGCATACCTGGGAGAGTGGTCATGGTCAAGTGGAACAGTCTGGGGATTATAAATTCAGCAGCTCTCGGTCTGAGTTCCAACTCGGCCCTTGCCAGCTGTGTGACCTCACTTATCCCCTTAACCTCTCTGAGTTCTAACTTCCTCATCTATAAACTGTGGAAGGTTTTCTCACCAGTCTTTCAAGGTTGATGTGAACATAAAAATGACACATGCAATTCTGGAAAAATACACTCACCTAATTCCACTGCAGGAGACTTTGTAAGTCTGAGATAGAGCCTGGGTATCAGTGATTCCTGCTATTTTGCGTGGGTCATCCTGATGGCTAAAGAACCATGACACAACACACTGTGCAGCTCTAGAGACGGAGGCTGGGATTTGAGAACATCCCGTGTCTCCAGGACCTAGCCAGAGCCTGGCATAAAGAAAGTGCTAAATAAATGGTGGCGGAAAAAGCAAATGACCACTCACTTGTTCATAAGCACCTTATTAACCTTTGCTGCATTCAACTTAACTGTGGTTTGTCTCTTAATGTAACAAATGAAAGGAAAATGGATTCACAGTTGGGAGAGGGAAGGCAAGAAAATGAAAGAAGGTGCGCTTATTTAAAAAAAGCCTCCCCGACCAATGACTATTGGCATCCAAAGATAAATAACCTAGAGCTTGCTTGGTTTCTCTGCCCCAGATTCACTTCTTCTGCACTCTGGCTAATCCCCTGTGGAGCTCACCAGAGCTTCCAACAGAGTATATGTTCATGGAAACAAGTTCTCACACTGTATCAAGTCCAGCCAGACCTCAGTCTCTTGCTAGATTTAAGCCACCAAGCCTTTCCCCACATCTGGCATTTTCCTCCTAATGCTCAGGGGCAGGCGAGACAGCATCCCCTTTTACTCCTTGGCTGCCAGTGAACTTCTCTCCTACCTTCCTTCCCCTTAGTTTCTTGGAGCCTTTTTACTGACTTACAATCTCCTATTTCTTGTATTATGTGAACGTGATGCCCACGGTAATAACAATAGTTAACACTTAGTGAGTGCTTACTAAATGCCTGGCACCTTTCTAAACATTTTAGCTCCTCTCACAATAAGATGGGCAGTATTATGATCTCCATTGTTCAGATGAGGAAACAGAAGCCCAGAGAGGTTAAGTAATTTGTCCAGGGTCACCCAGCTAGAAAGTCAAGGGAAAAGGACTCACACCCAGCAGTCTGGCTCCAGAGTCTGCTCCTTACCCAGACTCACTCGGGCTGCCTGGAACATGAACGTAGATCTCTGGTTGACCCTGCCTTCAACTGAGCCAACTTCTGACTGCCTTCCGTGACTTCTGACCTTTTCTTTCCCTTTTAGGAAATCTTCGGTGCTATTTTTCATTACTCTCCTATTTTCTCTGCATTCCTTTGCAATTTCATCAGCCTAAGACCACTGCAAATTTATATGATAGTATCCATTTGACACTTTTTCCCACGATTACATCTCTTCCTTTACCAATAAAGATAATAAAAACCCTTTTCCCCATAACCTCTTGCCCCTTGCTTCTTTTAAATAGCCATTTCTTCTTAGTCCAAAGAGCAGCAATTAGACCGCTCAGGAAGTTTGGTATTTAAAAGTGGAAAACTGTCAAACTCAATTCATTTCACTCTGAAAGCTCCCCGTATTGGAGGTTGTACAGCAGACTTGAGTTTGAATCTCAATTCTGCTCATTTGAGCCGGGTGACCTTGGGCAAATTACCTTTCTTCTCTGAGTTTCAGCTTCTTTATTTACAAAATATGGCAAACAATAGAAACCTTAAAGTACTGGGGTTGAGGAATAAATAAGGTGATGCAGGGAAAGCCCTCAGTATGAAGGACCAGCACACAGTAAGCCTTCAGTTAGTGGTGGCCACAACGCACGTTCCCCTGGGTCTGCAGCAGCCTTTGGGTCCGGCTTGCAGATTCCAATCACGTAGCAGAAAGTGCAGTACAAGGCAATGCATAATCCAGACTCTGGATGATATCGAAATGTCACCCAAAGAATGGATAGCATATATGCAAATGGAAAACTTTCAAGATGATAAACCTGTGCTAAGCAGTAAAAATGCAGCCACAAATCACCCGCCTTTAATTGCTCCAGTGCCAGGCAAGTGAAGGGAACCTCTAGAAAAGCGTCTTCCGGGCACGAACTAAACGGTGGCTTGTAATTGAAATGACAAAGTCAGTCTTCCTATTATGGCCCTGGCAAAGAAATTCATCCATCCAACCTAAACACACTGCAAATCGTAGTGATTTTTTTTTCTTTTAATAAGTATAGGCTGTGAAATCTGGAAAACACTTGGAGTCCTTTCTTTAAATGAAATCTTATGCATAAGCCTAACAGTAAAAGGAGAGCTGGAAGGAGTAGGGGGCAACCCGTCTTCTGGGTTCACCCTAGACCGGATGCCAGCTCGAGGACTTTGCAGAATGCCATTAAAAAGCACTGCTCTCCTCTCCCACAGTACTCCCAGAGTTATAATACAGCATACCACATATGAGATGATTTTAAGCAACAATACACAGGCATGGCATTTCATAACTTTGAATCACATTACATGAAAGGTGTCCCTTTTTTTTCAGTTTTCTTTCAACCATTGTGTTGACACCAAGTAGAAATACCTGTCTTTGCTGCTGATATATTTTAACACCTCTTTAGTTCATGCAAGACTCCTTTTGAACAAAGAAGGAAGTCCTCAGGTTGGAGCAGACAGTACGCAACAGCATCTAGTTAGAACTTAATAACACTGTTTTATTTTTATTGAAGTTATATTTATGGCAAGTGTTTAGGAAAAAGAACCAAAACTTGGAAACAAAGCAAAATGAGGATGCATGGCTTTTTAATGGAGCATTTCTGATAAGCTCATATTGCGGGAGAGAGGGGAGGTCCTCTTACTCTCTCAGGAAATGTAAATTTATTTGATCAACCATTCACAACTGATTAGAATCCAGAAATAGTGCAGCCCTATAAATTTGGAGGTTAACTTGTAGAAAAAAAATGACAGAATGTGATTTTTTGTTTGTTTGTTTTTTTGCGGGTTCGCTAAAGGTTCCACTGACCTGTAGAAATTTTGTCTTATATCTAAGGACAATTTTATATAAGCATCTCTTCTCCCACACACAAAAAATCAAGAATCCTAAATACTTTTGTATTGGCTCTTTCATTGTTCAGCTTGTTCCCTAGTTAATTAAATGAAACTCTGACACATGCTCACCCTTTAATTGCATAAGATGAGATTTTTAACCATTTGAGGACTCTATGTTACATAACTGATGTTGACTACTTCAATGGCAGTGATATGAATTTATTTTTATCAAAGTTACAAATGTAGACAGTTTTAAAACATTCTCCAAGGTTTATTAAAAAAAGAAAACAAAACAACAAAATAGCAGCCCCTTTCATGTTCTCACCATAGAAACTTCCCCACTTCTTTTAAGCTGATGTAATTAGTATTTTGGTATTTATGATGGTGTTGCCAATAATATGCTTGTACTGTTCCCTTTTCAGACAAACGTTTTCCTCTTTCTGGTGTTATCTGTAAACTCTCCACCATAAAAGACGAGGATTTCACTCTCGTTCTCTATTCTGCCCCATTAGGCATCCTTTCCATTTCGCCCTCTTCCCACATAGCTATAGTGTAATTTCGATTTGATCAATATTCAGTGTTCAAAATATTTTGTAAACTATGACCAATTCCCACTTCTTGTACAACTTTTCATTCCTCAAAAGGAAAAAAAAAAAGCAATTTGGGGGGTAAAAATGAGATACTCCTTTCAGTTCTTTGAATGACTTTTTTGATACTATCTTTTTCCTGACTTGTGATTGCCTCTTCCTCTAGTTTTCAAAATTCTCTCCACTTATTTCTAGAAGTTTGCTTTGCTTCACAGATCTGCTTCCTCCAAGTCACTCGCCTTCTGTTGGCCTGTTTTGCACTCTCTCTTTCTTGCTAGAATTCTCCCTTCCTTGTGTTGACCAGTCTTACATCTCCGAGCCTCAGTTTCTTCATCTGTATACAGGCATAATGGCACCCACGGTATCAGAATTATATTGAGAATCTAATGATTCTCTGTAGCTATTTCCAATACTGATTGCTAATATTTTTTCTAAGCTTTTGCTGCAAGTTATGCACTTATTACCTTAAGGAATTCTGCAAGCCCTTATGTGAAATAAGGGAACCACTTCTATGATCCCAGGTTTACAGACGAGGAAACTGAGGTTCTGGCTGTGGTCAC